AATAATGCAATCATGATTTAACCTGTTTATACTAAGCATACACATTATGGTTATTCTACATAGAAGTCGTAGTCGTGAGTTGTAAGAAATTGACCAATCACAGATTGAATATTCTCTTCTGTGCAATCTTGTTTTAATTGGCCAGTTGGGTCGAAAATAAAACGACTTATTTTGAATATTCTCCTCAACTTCGAATATGATTGGTCAATTTCTTACAACTCACGACTACGACTTCTATGTAGAATAACCTTTACGTTGATTTGTGTACGACGGCTTTAATGTGCAGTGCACTAAATGCGCACCAGCTCTGTCAGTGAAAAACGCTATTAGAAATCAAAGAACGTTCTGCTCAAAACATTAGCATATAGAATTCTACATTAATTACCTTAATCTAATCTCACTCGGTCTCTCGTTGAAATGATGACGGCGCAAAAAGACAGGAATCACGAACCACCATGTTTCTTGATCTTTTCGCGATTTTCTGCCGATGTTAAGGCCCGTATTCATATGGCAGTTTTATAGATGTTAGCCTTAAATTGATAGAAATAAAGCTTAAGTCGTAGGCAAATAAACCAATCTTCGATTACTTTAATATGTGAGATAATTTTTCGTTTTTAAGACTAATAATAAACCAACAAACGGTAAAATTAGACCAACAATCATCAGCAAACGATTACGCATCGATTAGGCTTTTTTGAAATTAAAAATAAAATTTTTCCGGCTAACTTAATGCTAATTCTTCTTTTTAAATTTAAAAAAAAATTAAGAACCAACAAACGTTGTAATTAGGCCAACAATCACCAACAAACGACTAACAAACGATAAAAAAATATGAAAATTAATAAAGTCGAAGTTGACCGGCTAAGTTACCGGAGCTAGGCCTGTCCCCTGAGCAGATTTACCGCCTGTTGGCAGGAATTGATATCTCTAAACCTAATTATTCTCTTCGCCTGGGCGTGAGAGGAATTCGTATATGACATTACAGTATTAATTACACAGGCCGACATTTTTAAAAACCTGAGACCAGACTATACTTTCCCAAAGGTTTTCGGTTCGCTGAATCCGAATCCGCCAGCGGAATTGCTCGATCACATCAGGTTTTCGAGATATCCTAACCTGAAAGTGCAAAAAACAGTTTTTCGCTATATTCGGGGTTATATTAAACCGCGAATTAATTTTTCTCCACAAAACTGGGTGCGGCATCTGAAAGTACTACTCTTCGCCTTCAAAATGCTTTTTTAATTTTTTAGATATCTTATTTCTTCTCGGAGATATCGTCCGTTTTTTCTATGGTTGTTTTTTAGAAAAAAAATTAAATATTTTAGAAATTACATTATAAGTTAAAGACTTATTAAAATAAATCCTAGTTTAATGAAATCATATGATAGCATGTCGGTATATTTATATAAAATATCTGCATTTCATATCTGTATTTCAAAAGATACTAAATATGTTAGATACAAAAAGCTATAACTATATTATCGAGTTTCAATATCGAGATTATAGATATTAAAAATAATCTTAAGATATAATTCGCAAATATATTTTATAATATATATATATATATTATATATATATATATTATATATATATATATATATATATATATATATATAATATATACATAATATCTGTGATAAATACATTGTAAATAGTTTCGACTAAAAATATAGTATTCCATCTCTTTCCAAGATTATATTTGTAAATAATCTAAAATACAGTAGGCACTAAAATGTATAAGTGGCTAACATTATATTATGGTAGAATTTCAAAAATTATGTATAATTACATTAAAACAATAAAGATATTTATTAGCAAAATCTTATGGACAATATTTTGTTCATAAATATTGTCTTTGGAATATATCTAATATAAAAATCGATGTTTGTATCTTTTTCATAATTATGTATATGTACATAAAAAAGTATTAATCTATTCTTATGTAAGGTAAACAAAATATTAATAATATCAGTTTGCACAATGGTTAAAACTATCAGTTTGCTAACAGATTCTATCAGAATATTGCAGCAGATTAGTATCAGCTGAGTTTGCATTAAACTTGTTTTACTAGTAAAGCCTACCAATATAATCTGACAACAGATTGCAGCCTGCTATCATATTTTATTAATAGATTTTATATTTTTGCTGGTATTCTGCTGACAAAATTGATAGCAAACATTTTGCGCTGTTTTTGATAAAGGCTATTTGGATTTCCATATTTCTGTTAAGCTATTTTATAATAAAAATATAAGCTTCTATAAAAGTTTCTTTTTTTTATCAGATATTAATATATATATATATATATATATATATATATATATAATAAACATTTTATATTACAGGATATCTTGTAATTGTTACATAAATTGTTAAAGTGTTGACAATTGACAAATGATTATTATAAGGTTTTCGGACGGCTTGCAATTCAGTTATAACTATCAGATCTCTAATGTCATTAAGGCTCCTGTTCACTCACTGTAGCCATCTTGGATTGATGACGTCAGAAGCGAGAAAATATATTATGAAAATTCTTGCTATTTACACTAAAATAAAAATGCTTTTTAATAAAATACCATCTGTAAACAATAAATAGATTTGTAAAATACACCGAAAATTCCCCTTTTATATGAGTAATCCACATTTGTCGAAGTGAATGTTGTCTAATCAAGAACGAAAACAAGCCGTTTGACAGCTGCCGAATTGAAATAAGTATGCACATATTAAATCAATAAAGTGGATATCTTCGGTATATTTCAACACTATCACAATAATTTTGAATGTAAAAACACTGCACTAAAATGAAGAATAACGCTCTAAATCGCAAGGAACACAAGTCGGAAAACAAGCCGTTTAACGACTATCGAAAGGAGTGGAAAATGTTTCTCCACATATGTATTCCTTGCAAATCTTACTTCTCGATCAATTTTACGAGTTTCATGAATACGTTAAACGTTATAGCACAAGTGCAGAGCGAATAATAAAGAAATTAAACGCAACACAAAATAGGTTGTCAACATGTCACAAAGGACAGAATTCTCCATTGGAGAGAGTTCTTATTTCGTCGCCACCGTCAACGCAGAGTTCTCGGCTCAAGGATCAGGAGCCTTAACGTCACTGGCCTAGTTTACACCGATCTCTTGATACGCGTATCAAATAGTATATTTGAACTGATCAGCCAATAATCAGACTTATTTACTAGTTATTTACTATTTAATACGCGTATCAAGTGATCGGTGTAAACTAGGCCACTAATTACAACTATGATTGGATGAGTAAAAAAGTACGTTATTCTCATTTTCAACATTGCATGTTATTTAAAATTCAAAAATTTTTACGCAATAATATTAAAATTTTTTTAGGCTTGAAAAATATACTATAGATCTAAAAGTATAACAAATTATTGTTCTACATTTGCGCATTGTTGCGCACTCATCATTATGAAAATCTTATTTAATAATTTGTTTCGTAATTCATTTGTATATGTATCTTTAGTAATACTAACTTAACTTACATTTATAATATGGACGGCTTGAAAAAGGTAGTTGCTGATATAGAAATTACAGTAGATATTTTGTCTTACAAAACACTAACAAGGAAACCAACCCACGGAAGTGTCCCTCTCCGATTTTGATAAGCTTTTAGGGCCGGTCTACAATGGGTGTTGTAAGTCGTAAATCGTAAGAATTGGCCAATTACAGTTCATTATTCTTTGACCGCAAGGAGAATAATGGACTGTGATTGGTCAATTCTTATGACTTACGACTTACAACACCCATTGTAGACCGGCCCTTAGACCTTTTAATATGTGTTGTTCTCTAGATGAAAGTAAGAGACACGTATTTTTTTTATACGTGCCCATTATGCATGTTTAGGGGGTAAAACACCTCTTTGAAAAAAATTGGTTTTTTTCTTTCAGGCCGAATATCTCCAAAACTATAAAAAATAGAAAAACATTTTTTAAACAAAAGCTGAATGGTTTGAAGAGCATTTTAAAATAATAACAAAATAAAAATTTTATTTTAATTTTTTAATTTTTTAAAAGGCTTGGCCAGTTTTTTTATGGCGGGATGCCCCCAGTGATATCGGGCTAATTTTTACATATAAAGTACCTCATGACCCAACACTAAATTACCGTTCATACCAGCTTCTAGAACGTAGTTCACAGCATGTTTAAAAAAATATCATTTTGAAAATTAAAATATTTTTTTTGTTTACCCTATAGATGTCGGAATTAAATTTAACCATACTTGTTTGAATCTTCCTAAGGTATCCTTCTATCCATATTTTTTTTCAAGATCCTAGCTTTTCTCGTTCCGGAGAAAAAAGCTTATTGATTTTTTAATTTGACGTTATAACTCCGGAACCACGTTGTTCTAGAAGCTGGTACTAACAGTAATTTAGTAGCGGGTCATGAGGTACTTTGTTTGAAAATCAGCCCGATATCGCTAGGGGCATCCCGCCATAAGAAAACTGGCTAGGTCCTTTTTATTAATAAAAATTTAAAAATTTTTTGTCATTGTTTTAAAATACTCTTCAAATCATTCAACTTTTGTTTAAAAAAAATTGATAGTTTTGAATATTCGGCGCAAAAGAGAAAAACCGATTTTTTTCAAAGGTATCACCCTTTAATCACGTGTATGAACATATAGACACGTATAAAAAAATACATGTCCCTTATTTTCATTTAGAGAATAACATACTAAAAACTTATCAAAATCGAAGAGAGACACTCCCGTGGATTTCCTTGTGAGAATATTTTATATTCATCTTCTTTGCACTGGAAAGATTATCATCAGAACTGATAACAGTAGTACCCAACTGACTTGAATCGATGAAGCACCAGCCAATCGACATTTGAACATATCGTATCTAAAATAATAACATTTATAAATCATCAATATAATAATAAATAATAATAATAATAAAATTTATAAATTATAATATTAGCAATTTTTAGTTGTTAATTTTAAAATAATTTTAATATAAAACAATTTTTGAACAATTACAAAGAAGAGAAGTATAAAAAATGAATACCTTGTTTCTTTGTCATTAACAATATTATTAAATTCAGCTTCCACTAATTGTCCGTCATAATATGTAATTAAATCCTCAAATGGATATTCAAACCCTTGCTTGCATTCACATTTGTATCCACCTGTCTCAAATCCTCTTCCAAGAATAGGTACGCACTGTGGAAATTAAATATTAAAAACTTGTCATTAGTAAAATTATTAATACAAGTAAAATTAGACTAATTTAAAAAAAGTGTTTTGAAATTATAAAATATGAAAATAATCTTGCAATATTTAGAGTTTACATAAATAGATATTTCCGACATTATTATTCAATGCAATGGAATAATGCCGACTTACATATGATGTCTTTCTGTCACACTTGTGCGTATCCTTGAATGCGTTTGGTTGATAAAATTTATCATCGCATTGGTTTATATCTAGCTGAAGCATATCCATGGTAACAGCTACAACACCCCTGTAAGTGTCTTACTCTTAAATATGATCTTCTTTTTTATTATAAAACTGGTTTTGTGTCTCTACAGTGTTTCTCATTCTGACACATGCGCGAACACAGGCGTACACATACACATATTTATATACACATACATATGCTGTACGCCCGCACGCACAGTATAATCAGTATGTTCACTCAACCCTTTTTTGTGGTTTGCGCCGATCCGTTTGTGCATCGCCATTATTTTGGGCGCAATCAATCAGAGGATTTTTATATGTGTGGTAGTGCAAAGTCGGTGTAACGTCACAAACGCTAAAGCTGGATGCACAATGACTACGTTTAC